AACGTGACTGTAGATGCAGTCACCATCTGACGTGATTTTGGAGCCCCCCAAAATAAATCTGTCACTGTTTCCATTGCTTCCCCATCTGTTTGCCATGAAGTGAAGGGACCAGATGCCATGATCTTAGTTTTCTGAATCTTGAGCTTTAAGCCAACTTTTTCACTCTCCTCTTTCACTTACATCAAGAGGCTCTTTAGTTCTTCTTCACTTTCTGCCGTAAGGGTGGTGTTGTCTGCATATCTGAGGTTATTGATATTTCTCCTGGCAATCTTGATTCCAGCTTGTACTTCATCCAGCCCAGCATTTCTCATGATGTAGTCTGCATATAAGTTAAATAAGCAGGGTGACAATATACAGCCTTGACGTACTCCTTTCCCTATTTGGAACCAGTCTGTAGTTCCATGTCTAGTTCTAAGTGTTGCTTTCTGACCTGCATACAGATTTCTCAGGAGGCAGGTAAAGTGGTCTGGTATTCCCATTTCTTGAAGAATTTTCCACAGTTTGTTATGATCCACACAGTCAAAGGCTTTGGCATAGTCAATAAAGCACAAGTAGATGTTTTTCTGGAACTCCCTTGCTTTTTTCAATGACCCAACAGATGTTGGCAATTTAATCTCTGGTTCCTCTGCCTTTTCTAAATCCAGCTTGAACATCTGTAAATTCACGGTTCACGTACTGTTGAAGCCTGGCTTGGAGAACTTTGAGCATTACTTTGCTATAATGTGAGGTGAGCAATTGTACAGTAGTTAAAACATTCTTTGGCATTGTCTTTCTTTGGGATTGGAGTGAAAAATGACTTTTTTCCAGTACTGTGGCCACTGTTGAGTTTTCCAAATTTGCTGGCATAGTGAGTGCAGCACTTTCACAGCATCATCTTTCAGGATTTGAAATAGCTCAGCTGGAATTCCATCACCTCCACTAGCTTTGTTCATAGTGATGCTTCCTAAGGCCCACTTGACTTCACATTCCAGGATGTCTGGCTCTAGGTGAGTGATCACACCATCATGGTTATCTGGGTCATGAAGATCCTTTTTGTACAGTTCTTCTGTGTATTCTTGCCACCTCTTCTTAAGATCTTCTGCTTATGTTAGGTCCATACCATTTCTGTCCTTTATTGTGCCCATCTTGGCATGAAATGTTCCCTTGGTATCCCTCATTTTCTTGAAGAGACCTCTAGTATTTCCCATTTTGTTGTTTCCCTCTATTTCTTTGCACTGATCACTGAGGAAGGCTTTCTTATCTCTCCTTGCTATTCTTTGGAACTGCAGCTTCTTCAGCATTACTGGTTGGGGCATAGACTTGGATTACTGTGATATTGAATGGTTTCCCTTGGAAACGAACAGAGATCATTCTGTTGTTTTGAGATGACATCCCAGTACTGCATTTTGGACTCTTTTCTTGATTATGATGGTTACTCCATTTCTTCTAAGGGATTCTTGCCCACAGTAGTAGATATAACGGTCATCTGAGTTAAATTCATCCATTCCAGTCCATTTTAGTTCACTGATTCCTAAAATGTCAATGTTCACTCTTGCCATCTCCTGTTTGACCACTTTCGATTTGCTTTGATTCATGAACCTAACATTGCAGGTTCCTATGCAATGTTGCTCTTTACAGCATTGGACCTTGCTTCTATCACCAGTCACATCCACAACTGGGTGTTGTTGCTTTGGCTCCATCCCTTCATTCTTTCTGGAGTTATTTCTCCACTCTTCTCCAGTAGCATGTTGGGCACCTACAGACCTGGGGAGTTCATCTTTCAGTGTCCTGTCTTTTTGCCTTTTCATACTGTTCATGGGGTTCTCAAGGCAAGAACAATGAAGTGGTTTGCCATTCCCTTCTCCAGTGGACCATATTTTGTCAGAACTCTCCACCATGACCCGTCCGTCTTGGGTGGCCCCACGACATGGCTCATCGTTTCATTGAGTTAGACAAGGCTGTGGTCCATGTGATCAGATTGATTAATTTTCTGTGATTGTGGTTTTCAGTCTGTCTTCCCTCTGATGGAGAAGGATAAGAGGCTTATGGAAGCTTCCTGATGGGAGAGACTGACTGAGGGGAAACTGGGCCTTATTCTGATGGGCGGGGCGGTGCTCAGTAAATCCAATTTTCTGTTGATGGGTGGGGTTGCGTTCCCTCTCTGTTATTAGTGTTAACAGTGAAAGTGAAAGTCCTCAGTTGTGTCAGACTCTTTGCAGCCCTATGGACTATACAGTCCCTGAAAATCTCCAGGCCAGAATACTGGAGTGGGTGTCTGTACCCTTGTCCAGGGGATCTTCCCAACCCAGGGATTGAACCCAGGTCTCCTTCATTGCAAGCAGATTCTTTACCAGCTGAGCCATAAGGAAGCCCCAGCATCATCCAGTTGAATAGAAATGTTTCCCTGGCTGCCTGTGCATGCCCAGGCGTCAGTGAGGCATGTGTTAGAATTCTCTGGGAAGGGTGCTTCAGTCGTGTCCGACTCTTTGCGACTCTATGGACCGTAGCCTGCCAGACTCCTCTGTCCATGGGATTCTCCAGGCGAGAACACTGGAATGGGTTGCCATGCCCTCCTCCAGGTGATCTTCTCAACCCAGGGATCAATCCCTGGTCTCTTGTCTCCTGCACTGGCAGGCGATTTTTACCGCTAGTGCCACCTGGGAAGCCCCTTGTTGACGCTTGCTAAGTGGTTTTCTTGCAGTTTATTTCTGACCAATGGTAAGCTGACTCCTAACAAAACTGTGACATAAGAAAGGTTGCTTTTTACACCGTTCACCCTGGCTCCCATCATCAAGTCACAGCTTCCATCTTCAGACATTCAGAGTCATGATTTAGTGTTTGTCCACACCCTCTCCCCCAGCTTACTTTCTGGGAAGGGTGTTATTAATATGCTAATGAAAATTTAGGTTAATGTCTTATCTCTCCCAGGGATATGTGCATTTCAAACTTCTCCTCTTATGAATGGATAGCATCAGCTGACAGCAGACGTACTGGGGGCCCTTCTGGAAGTTACTTCTTGTTCAACTGTCTCCCTGATTGTCCGTTAAGGTCTTAGTCTCTAGTCCCAACTCCAGCATGCCCCTCAGATTTCTTTCTCTGGTTCATTTATTCAGCAAATATTTGTATGTGTGATGTGCTAGGCTGGGCACAGGGTATACCACAAGAAAGTAAAGAAAGGCACAGTTCCTATTGCAGTGGACTTTATAGTCTAATGAGAGGTTCTGTCAAATAATCGTATAAATAAATGTCAGGTTAAAACTCTAGGAAGTGCTAGGAAGGGGAGAACAGAGTGCCCTGTACATATAATAAGGGCTCCAGCCAGGAGATCCAGGATATATTCCCTGGGAAAGTCCGGGAATGAGACAAAAGAATTGATAAGATATGTTGTTTTCCTAGGATTGCCATGAGAAAGTACTGTGGTGACCCAAGGACAAAAGAGCAGATAAAAGCAAGGAGGGTCTTGAACCTCAGGAAACACCAGACCCTTATCGCCCTTCCCTCCCCCATGTTGTAACTATTAACAGAACAGAATCACCTGTCTCCCCTCCTTCCCCACAGGGAGGAGGTATTTGCCCTGCTCTCCCCCACCCAGTATACCTGCCTCATCCAAGCAGCAGACGGCCCGCAAGACCCCGTCCCACTCCTCGTACCCTGGGTGTGGAAGTGGACCAAGGGCCCCTGTTCACCGTCGGCTCTCCCTTGAGCTGGCCCGCTGTTCTAACAATGTCTCCCACTCTAGTAACTTTATTTCCCTCTCATTCTGTCTCGTGTCTGGAAATCCTTTTCCAACCCGCGCCCGGACCATGACAAGTACCAAAAATTGGGTTGTTTAAAACTCCAGAAATGTATCATTTCATGACTCTGGAGGTTGGAAGCCTGGAATTGAGGTGTCAGCAGGGCCGCGCGCTCTCTGATGGTTCTGGGGGAGAACCTTTGTCTCTGCCAGCTTCCGGTGTGCGCTGGCAACCGCAGGTGTCTTTGGCTTGTGGGTGCAGAGCTCGAGGCACGTGGCTGTTTCTCTTGTGTCTTCACATTGCCTTCCCTATGGCCTTGTCTGTCTCTGCCCAGATGGCCCCTTTGGAATAAGAACATCGGTCCTATGGGATCAGGACCCACCCTATGACCTCGTTTTAAACTTGATCACCTCTGTAATAGTTTCCCTGCTGGTTCAGAGGGTGAAGCATCTGCCTGCAATGCGGGAGACCTGGGTTCAATCCCTGGGTCGGAAAGATCCCCTGGAGGAGGACATGGCAACCCACTCCAGTATTCTTGCCTGGGAAATCCCATGGATGGAGGAGCCTGGCGGGGCTACAGTCCATGGGACTGCAAAGAGTCACACACGACTGAGCGACTTCACTTTCACCTCTATAAAGAACCTGTGTTCAAACCAGGCCACATTCTGAGGACCCGGGGGTTGGAGCTTCATCAGAGCTCTTTAGGGGCCAGAATTCAACCCATAAGAGGAGTCGGAGTAGAGGAACAGAAGAGTGTTCTAGGCCTGGGACGCAGTACACGCCGAGAGGAAGCGTGGCCTCCAGGTTTTACAGAGCACGGGGACGTGTGGTGCCAGAGGAAGCTGGAATGGAAGTAAAGAGTAGTGGTTAGGCTTGCGTTAGGGACCTTGGTCATAATGTGACAGCAGTGCATCTTCACTGGAGAATTTCAGCAGGAACTAGACATGATCTGACCTGCACTTTGAGAAAATCCCCTGGCTGCAGCGTGCAGAGCGGGTTGGTGACCCCAGAAAGGGTGCAAGTGCACCACTTAGGAAGCTTCTGCAACAGAGCAGGTGAGAGAAGAGGGTGTGTAGAGGGAACTGGTGGCAGAAAGTAAAATCCGTGAGCCTCGATGATCGACCGGATGGAGGATGGAGGCGGCAATGGTCAAGGATGATCCCGTCCTAGATTTCTGACTCATTTGCCTAAATGTGCACTAATGAAGCAGGTTAGGGGCAAAATTGGGAGATCAGTTTGGGTATGTTAGGCCCGGGGCGCCCCGCTTGGAATCGTCGGCATTTATAGATCTGGGGCTTAGAGGGAAGGTCCCAGCTGAAGATGAAAATCAGAATCACTGGCATGTACGTGATAACTGACAGTGTGCACCCTGGGCAAGAAAGCCTGCAGGGGGATGAGCAGAGGGCTGAGGGCAATGATGGGACAGTGCCCACAGAGGAAATTAAGGCCGAGCAGCCAGAGGGGGGAGGGGGAAACCAGGGAGCCTGTGGCCTCAGAGAAGCCCGGGAAGAAAGAGGGAGGGGTAAAACAGAGCCGAGAGAGTCCAAGCCTTCCGGGGGAGGCAGCAACGCGGAAGTGATCCGTGAGCTTCAGGAAAGACTGTCTGGGGTGGTGAGATGGGAGGGAGCCAGGCTGGAGGGGTCTGAGGAGTGGGAGGAAGGGGATGAAGGCCTCTGCACAGACACCCGCACTTTGGGACTTGCCCAGTGGTCCGGTGGTTAAGAACCCAGCTTCCAATGCAGGGGACACAGGTTTGATCCTCGAGTGGGCAGCTAAGACCCCGCATGCCAGTGGGGCGGCTCAGCCCAGGGGCCACGACCAGAGAGGCCAGCATGCTGTCGCTGTGTAGAAGCAGAGCAGACGGCCAGTGTCTGCATGTTTTCCTACAAGTATCCATGCAAACCATTTTTCCCTCCTCTCACCCTGGGCAAGGGGAGGGTGGCAAGTGGGAAATAAAGTGACATTTTCTAGAACAAGACCTATAAAAGGCGGTGGCGGCAGCGGTGTTCGTCCACTGCTTGCACGCCCCCCTCCCGTTTCCTGTGTGTTTCCCTCGTGGACAGGAGTCAGCCTCCGAGGAGCAGGATCCCTCCTTGTTACCACTGACGGAGGGGCGCCCACGGCCTCCCTCCCGGGGGCTCCCCACGCCTCTCTCTCAGAGGGCCCTGGGAACTGGGCTGATGCTGCAGGCCAGGACAGGTGTTTCCTGCTCCAGTTTAAGAGGCTCTAATCTGTAGTTTTCTTTTTTTGTGGCATCTTTGTCTGGTTTTGGAATTAGGGTGATGGTGGCCTCATAGAATGAGTTTGGAAATTTACCTTCTTCTGCAATTTTCTGGTAGAGTTTGAGTAAGATAGGTGTTAGCTCTTCTCTAAATTTTTGGTAGAATTCAGCTGTGAAGCCATCTGGTCCTGGGCTTTTGTTTGCTGGAAGATTTCTGATTACAGTTTCGATTTCCTTGCTTGTGATGGGTTTGTTAAGATCTTCTATTTCTTCCTGATTCAGTTTTGGAAAGTTATACTTCTCTAAGAACTTGTCTATTTCTTCCAAGTTGTCCATTTTATTGGCATAGAGCTGCTGGTAGTAGTCTCTTATGATCCTTTGTATTTCAGTGTTGTCTGTTGTGATCTCTCCATTTTCGTTTCTAATTTTGTTAATTTGGTTCTTCTCCCTTTGTTTCTTAATGAGTCTTGCTAATGGTTTGTCAATTTTGTTTATTTTTTCAAAAAACCAGCTTTTAGCTTTGTTGATTTTTGCTATGGTCCCTTTAGTTTCTTTTGCATTTATTTCTGCCCTAATTTTTAAGATTTCTTTCCTTCTACTAACCCTGGGGTTCTTCATTTCTTCCTTCTCTAGTTGCTTTAGGTGTAGAGTTAGGTTATTTATTTGACTTTTTTCTTGTTTCTTGAGGTAGGCCTGTAATGCTATGAATCTTCCCCTTAGCACTGCTTTTACAGTGTCCCATAGGTTTTGGGTTGTTGTGTTTTCATTTTCATTCATTTCTATGCATATTTTGATTTCTTTTTTGATTTCTTCTATGATTTGTTGGTTATTCAGAAGCGTGTTATTTAGCCTCCATATGTTTGAATTTTTAATAATTTTTTTCCTGTAATTGAGATCTAATCTTACTGCACTGTGGTCAAAAAAGATGACTGGAATGATTTCAATTTTTTGAATTTACCAAGACTAGATTTATGGCCCAGGATGTGATCTATTCTGGAGAAGGTTCCGTGTGCACTTGAGAAAAAGGTGAAGTTGATTGTTTTGGGGTGAAACGTCCTATAGATGTCAATAAGGTCTAGCTGGCCCATTGTGTCCTTTAAAGTTTGTGTTTCCTTGTTGATTTTCTGTTTAGTTGATCTATCCATAGTTGTGAGTGGGGTATTAAAGTCTCCTACTATTATTGTGTTACTATTAATTTCCTCTTTCATACTTATTAGCATTTGCCTTACATATTGCGGTGCTCCTATGTTGGGTGCATATATATTTATAATTGTTATATCTTCTTCTTGGACTGATCCTTTGATCATTATGTAGTGTCCATCTTTGTCTCTTTTCACAGCCTTTATTTGAAAGTCTATTTTATCTGATATGAGTATTGCGACTCACTGATGAACATAGATGCAAAAATCCTTAACAAAATTCTAGCAAACAGAATCCAACAACATATTAAAAAAATCATACACCATGACCAAGTGGGCTTTATCCCAGGAATGCAAGGATTCTTTAATATCTGCAAATCAATCAATGTAATACACCACATTAACAAATTGAAAGATAAAAATCATATGATTATCTCAATAGATGCAGAAAAAGCCTTTGACAAAATTCAACATCCATTTATGATTAAAACTCTCCAGAAAGCAGGAATAGAAGGAACATACCTCAACATAATAAAAGCTATATATGACAAACCCACAGCAAGCATCACCCTCAATGGTGAAAAATTGAAAGCATTTCCCCTGAAATCAGGAACAAGACAAGGGTGCCCACTCTCACCACTACTATTCAACATAGTTTTGGAAGTGTTGGCCACAGCAATCAGGGCAGAAAAAGAAGTAAAATGAATCCAGATAGGAAAAGAAGTGAAACTCTCTCTGTTTGCAGATGACATGATCCTCTACATAGAAAACCCTAAAGACTCTACCAGAAAATTACTAGAGCTAATCAACGAATACAGTAAAGTTGCAGGATATAAAGTTAACACACAGAAATCTCTTGCATTCCTATACACTAACAATGAGAAAACAGAAAGAGAAATTAAGGAAACAATACCATTCACCATTGCAACAAAAAGAATAAAATACTTAGGAGTATATCTACCTAAAGAAACAAAAGACCTATACATAGAAAACTACAAAACACTGATGAAAGAAATCAAAGAGGACACAAACAGATGGAGAAATATACCGTGTTCATGGATTGGAAGAATCAATATTGTCAAAATGGCTATACTACCCAAAGCAATCTATAGATTCAATGCAATCCCTATCAAGCTACCAACGGTATTTTTCACAGAACTAGAACAAATAATTTCAAAATCTGTATGGAAATACAAAAAACCTCGAATAGCCAAAGTAATCTTGAGAAAGAAGAATGGAACTGGAGGAATCAACCTGCCTGACTTCAGACTATACTACAAAGCCACAGTCATCAAGACAGTATGGTACTGGCACAAAGACAGAAATATAGATCAATGGAACAGAATAGAAAGCCCAGAGATAAATCCACGAACCTATGGCCACCTTATCTTCGACAAAGGAGGCAAGGATATACAATGGAAAAAAGACAACCTCTTTAACAAGTGGTGCTGGGAAAACTGGTCAACCACCTATAAAAGAATGAAACTAGAACACTTTCTAACACCATACACAAAAATAAACTCAAAATGGATTAAAGATCTAAATGTAAGACCAGAAACTATAAAACTCCTAGAGGAGAACATAGGCAAAACACTCTCCGACATAAATCACAGCAGGATCCTCTATGACTCACATCCCAGAATTTTAGAAACAAAAGCAAAAATAAACAAATGGGACCTAATGAAACTTAAAAGCTTTTGCACAACAAAGGAAACTATAAGCAAGGTGAAAAGACAGCCCTCAGATTGGGAGAAAATAATAGCAAATGAAGCAACAGACAAAGGATTAATCTCAAAAATATACAAGCAACTCCTCCAGCTCAACTCCAGAAAAATAAATGACCCAATCAAAAAATGGGCCAAAGAACTGAACAGACATTTCTCCAAGGAAGACATACAGATGGCTAACAAGCACATGAAAAGATGCTCAACATCACTCATTATCAGAGAAATGCAAATCAAAACCACAAGGAGGTACCATTACACGCCAGTCAGGATGGCTGCTATCCAAAAGTCTACAAGCAATAAATGCTGGAGAGGGTGTGGAGAAAAGGGAACCCTCTTACACTGTTGGTGGGAATGCAAATTAGTACAGCCACTATGGAAAACAGTGTGGAGATTTCTTAAAAAGCTGGAAATAGAACTGCCATATGACCCAGCAATCCCACTTCTGGGCATACACACCGAGGAAACCAGATCTGAAAGAGACACGTGCACCCCAATGTTCATTGCAGCACTGTTTATAATAGCCAGGACATGGAAGCAACCTAGATGCCCATCAGCAGACGAATGGATGAAGAAGCTGTGGTACATATACACCATGGAATATTACTCAGCCATTAAAAAGAATTCATTTGAATCAGTTCTAATGAGATGGATGAAACTGGAGCCCATTATACAGAGTGAAGTAAGCCAGAAAGATAAAGACCAATACAGTATACTAACACATATATATGGAATTTAGAAAGATGGTAATGATAACCCTATATGCAAAGCAGAAAAAGAGACTCAGATGTATAGAACAGACTTGTGGACTCTGTGGGAGAAGGCGAGGGTGGGATGTCTCAAGAGAACAGCATTGAAACACGTATATTATCTAGGGTGAAACAGATCACCAGCCCAGGTTGGGTGCATGAGACAAGTGCTCGGGCCTGGTGCACTGGGAAGACCCAGAGGGATCGGGTGGAGAGGGAGGTGGGAGGGTGGACCGGGATGGGGAATACATGTAAATCCATGGCTAATTCATTTCAATGTATGACAAAAACCACTGCAATGTTGTATGGTAATTAGCCTCCAACTAATAAAAATAAATGGAAAAAAAAAAAAAGAGAGACTCTAATCTGGCACCTGCTGTAAATATAGGAAGACCCAAAGGCCAAGTCTTCAGTCAATCGGTTTGCTAAGATACACCCCAGTGGCAAGAGTGAAAGTCACTCAGTCGTGTCCAACTCTGCGACCCTGTGGACTATAGCCCGCCAGGCTCCTCTGTCTGTGGGATTCTAGGCAAGAACACTGGAGTGGGTAGCCTCTCCCTTCTCCAGGGGATCTTCCCAACCCAGGGATAGAACCCAGGTCTCCCACATCGCAGGCGGATTCTTTACCATCTTAGCCACCAGGGAAGCTAATCATTTCCACTTTGAAAAATAAAACTGTGATTTGCAGTCACTTCAAGGCACAGCTTTTGTATTTTTATTCTGAGGCAGTAAAAAAAAGAAGTTATATATATATATATATATATATATATATATATAT